CATATCTAATTGTTCCCCTACCCCAGGATGTCTATGTTATCTTACATAAAATACAGAGTCTCACATTTTTTCTCTGCTCCTTTTATGTCATCTTATGTTAAAAAAAAAAAAAAAAAAGCACATCCGCTTACATGAAAACTGTGTGCTTCTGTGCCCTTTCTCCTTTAAATATGGAGCCCTCAAAATCATCTTTGGAGAAAGGCATAGACCTGTCTCCTGGGCAAGTCCTTAACTTTGGCAAATACATGTCATAAAATGATTGAGACTTATCTCATCATTTTTCTCGATTGACATCTGGTAACCACAAAAGGATCCTGAGTGAAAGAGACCTGGCCTGCTGCAGTTTGCCTCTTGGTGCTTGGTACCGGCTTGGGCATCTTATAACCCAAACCGATAGGATGATTTGCCGAAGTCTGGGACTTCTTTCCTCCAGGAAATCTTCCAACGTTTTTCAGTTGGGGATCTGAGGTTTAAATGCTATTTTTTTAAGTCTTTATTATGTGGGAGGTTTTCTACTCGCTTTCATCAAGGAAGGCAAGCTGATTTGCTTCCGTGTCAGTGGAGAGTGATCTTCAGCTTGGGCCCCCATCACTAGGTCAGAAACTGGTTTGGGATTCTGTCTTGCAAATTCTTTTAAATGGATAACATTAGCATTAACAACAAGCTGGTGTTAATTTCCTGCTTACCCTTAGAGCACTCAGAAATCGTATAATTTGTGTGATCTTTGTTAGTTTTGCTTAACTATTTTGTTGTTTGTTTCTGTTTTTGTGTCTGTGTATATGTGTATGTTTCAATCCTTTCCCCTGTTGGATTTGACCAACTCCAAACTCTTTAGCTCATGACAGTGGAATATTCCACTCTGAAGAAATAGAGCACCTTATTTCCCTTAGCCTTTAGAGGTATTCTCAGGTGACTGAGACTGCTGTGAGGGTGTCTGGGAGATATGCTAAAACCCTAAATAAGTTTCCCCCTTAGAAGAACATACTTAGGGTCTAATCTCAGCTGGCACGTGCACATAAGGAACTGACTGTCCCCTCCTGAATCTTGATCCCCTGACACATTGTGCCTGTTAGCTGCAACATGGGTGGATCAAACCAGTTCAGGGTGTAATGGTCCTGAAAAGCTAGGTTTGCAAGTAGCACATTTTGGGTGTGACACATGTCATAAGATGACATAAAAATCCAAAGAGGAACTCTAAATTATGGAGAATGAGGCCTCTAAGACCCCAGCAGCTGTGGAAGATATATCTTTCCCCTTTAGAAACTCTGGCTGGGTATATGCAAAATATTTATGGTGAATCATCATGCAAATATTTAAACAAGTGGACTGATATAACTAAAGCAGATTCTAAGTTACAATGACTTAAATGGGGATCTCTTGAGATGCCCAAATTAGTGTACCTGCAATCCAAGATGGAAATCACAGGCACAAAAACTGAACAACCAGAATGGGAGAGCCATTATGAATGATATCTGGAAAGTAGCAAAAGGGGGGAAGACCACTTCATCTTCCTATAGGAGGTGAACAAACAACTTAGAAGTGCTAGTCAATAACTCTCTAATCTTTTATCTCCCTTAATTAAAGAAATCCTCGGGATCCCTTACTTCCCCCTTGGCACCTCCCTCACCTCCTTCTCCACTCCTACTCTACCCTGACCTCTTTCAACTTCCTGGACCAGATCTGTCCCCACCTTCTCCTGCGCGTTTAACACTCACTCAACAGAAGGCAGTTGGGAATCTGACTTCAAAGACCACACCTGCTGATGATTCCCTGACAGCCCCAGTGGTAGCATCTCATCTGGAAGATGTGGAAAAGGGGGACCCTGCAGGGACTTCTTTCATGATAACCCCACCTTGTGGAACAACCAGTAACAGGTAGGGGAACCCCAGTGATTGTCTACCAAACCTGGTCAAAGGGTGAATTACGTACGAGGCATAAAGAATTTCCTGACTCTTACAAAGATCTAATTGGGTTTGCCTGAGAATTTGAGCTCATTATCAGAACCTATAACCCATGTTATTCAGACCTTAATCAGCTAAAGGTTGGTCTTGGAAGCTAAAGCTAGGGAGTAGCTGGAAAAAATACAATGGTCAGATCCTATAGCAGATTTGACCCCAAAGGTCCAACAGAACCACAACAAACAGCCCCTCAGAGTTTATAAGACAGGCATAAAAACATGCAGGAACGAGTGACTGCTGTGTTAAACAGCATTTCTTCAGTGTTCCAAAGGGTTATGGAATGGAATAAAATCCAACAATGCTGCCAGAACCCAAATGAATCAGTTTTACATTATTTCACACGTTTTGATAAAACTTTAAGACAATAATGCAGTATGTCAGCCGATTGCTTTAAAAACAATAAAAATGATACATTATTAGATGCAAATTTCTTAATAAATATCTTTTTCCTTTTTTTTTTTTTTTTGAAATGGAGTCTAGCTTTGTCACCAGGCTGGAGTGCAATGGCACAATCTCAGCTCACTGCAATCTCCAACTCCCTGGTTCAAGCAATTCTCCTGCCTCAGCCTCCTGAGTAGCTGGGATTATAAGCATGCACCACCACGCCCAGCTAATTTTTGTATTTTTAGTAGAGACAGGCTTTCATCATGTTGACCAGGATGCTCTCAATCTCCTGACCTCATGATCCGCCCGCCTCCGCCTCCCAAAGTGCTGAGCTTATAGGCATGACCCGTTCCAGGCCAATACATTTCTTAATTAAATGGACTAGATGATGTGATGATTTAGTCACCCTTGTAAAACACCACATGACAAATTGGGCCAGAGCCAGAACTAATGAACTAGTTAACTTAGCTGACTAATTAGTCCACACTATGATAAAAAAGGGAAAACAGAAGATTGCTTGAGGTATACATATCCAGCTAAAGCAATTAACTTCTCAAATCTCTCAGCCCCAGGAAGATTTAAGCTCCCTCAGCCAGAGAACTCTTCCCTCCCAGTCTGTTACTACTGTGAAAGACTGGGACACCTTAAGAGGATTGCCTTAGGCTGAAAGAAAAGATAGGAAAATGCAACTTTGGAAGACTACAGATGCTCCAAGTAAATATGAGGGCTTTACCTTTCCAAATATTCTACCCTGACAAACAAATTGGGAGAGACTAACATAATAAACTGTAAGCTTACAACTGCCTTAATTGACACAGATGTGACTACATTTCTGACAACTCCCATCTTACTTAGAAACCCCTATTTTTTGAATAATGAAATAATTTACATGGTGGTTATGTTTAATCAAACAATCTTACGTTTTAAGTCCAAACCTATACCTTACTGTTTCATCAGGTTCAGCTCCCACACCACAGGCTCTAAGTGTGACATGCTCAGTAGGCCCCATATGTTTCTTTTTTTGGGGGGGAGGGGCGGGGAAGGAAACATTCCGCATGTTTGAAGAAAGTGAAGGCTGTTTCAGGAGGGCCGCCCTGTGTGCCCACGTCAGTGGAGGCAGTATTCCAAGGCCCACCATCCTCTTCTACCAGCATCCCTCACTTCATGATGAGATGGAAATCTGCCCATCAGGACCCCGGTGAACTTCACCTAAGATTCATGGATTTCTCCCCACCCTTGAAGTGAGATGAGTTTAAGCTCCAGATGATTCAGGAGGGTCTGGCTGGGAGGACCCCATAGGATTTCTCTCCTGGTGCCCTTCCCTGATTTCCCAGTCCAGGCTGGGGCCTAAGGACAGCACCCTGCCATTAAACGAGAACCACTTTGGGAATGAAGACACACTCTTATGCCAAAAATAGCCAATGCCTGCATATTTCTGTTTTAAGGCAATGTTACCCTTCCATCAGATGGAACAGCCCTGGGTCATTTAAAGTAAAAATTAAATTAAGTGCTCTCTTCGGAAACAGCCAACACCCGATTCCCTCCCCCACCCCCCACCCTGCTCTAAAACAAACCAGCTCTTCTTTTTATTCCAAGATGACTAGGTTTAGAGTCCTATCTTTTCCTTCCTATGTGCAGACGGATGTGAAGCTAGAAAATCTCCTGCCATGACACCCTGGGCAGATGACAAGGACGACTGGCCCCTCCCTGGAGAGCACTTTGCTAGCCTCCCACGGATGGGCTCCTCCCTCTCCCTGCCTTTGGGAACGGTGGATGGTGAGTGCACGAAAGGACTTTGGAATAAAATTCCTGAACCTGGAAAGTGAATTCCCGAGACATGAAATGTATTCAGAGTGTGGCTTTCTCCGCCTCACACGAAAACAACTTTGGGAGGGACCTTACTTTGGAACAGGGCATGAAGATCTTTGCACCCCAAGCACCCAGGGCTCTCTTCTATCAAGGTCCCTACCGATTATTCCACTGTCTTCCTGACCCGATGCAAGCAGGGCTGTCAGGGAGCCCAAACAGCACGGCAGAGTGGCCAGCTCTGTATCCAACCAGAGTGGGGGTGACCCTCTCCCCTCCAGTTCCCACCACAGCAGGAATAATACTACTACCCAATTTAGGGTCCATCGGGCTACCTGGAAGCTACTACCATGCTGCGGGCCAATCCCAGCTGACACACAGTAGTGAGAAACGGGCACCTGATGCCATACTGTGCCTGCGCAGCTGCTGTGATAGAGGGCACTCGTCCACTCTGGAGCCAGCCCAAACAGTGGCCAGTGGCTGGGCCTGGGTCCCGAGTTTGAGCTGCACCCCACACTGTGGTGGGGCCGGGTAGAAGCAGGATGGCCACAATCAAGGCACACTTGGCCCAGGAAGCCCACCTGTGGCCCTGAGGTCCCAGGGCCATTCCTTTGCATCAAAATACGTACTCATCAAAATGGGTATCTCTGGCAAGATACCCTGAGTCCACCCCAATCCCCCCACCCCCCCAACACACATGCGTGTGTGCACGCGTGCACAGACACGCACACGCAGAGATGGGCACATGCACGCACACACACACGCGCGAGCGCGCGCGAACACACACACACACTCTTTCCTGGGCCCTTGCATTTACAGGCCCCAACTCTCAGGAAGAAGGGAGGGCGGTACCTGGGCCACAAGCCTGGGGTCAACACTCCAGCCATCTGCAGAGAAGCTTGCTGGACCACAGCTTGACTGACCTGCCCAGGGCTCAAACCCAGGCCCCGGCTCTCCGCTCCTTGTCTTCTGCCAGGAGAAGGCCGACGATGGGGCGCCAGAGCAGCCACATCAGCTGGGTTTGGCACGCCTGGGGCCTCCAGGTAGGGCAGGGAGAAGCAGGAAGAAAAGGGAGGAAGAGTCCAGGGCACACGGAGAGGCTGGACGTTTGCTAAGTCTGAGTTGGGGACGTGGACCGTCTGAGAAAAGCATCTCCCACAACTTTCCATCTGGCGTTCCCTGGGGGGAAGCAGAATGCACGCTCTCCAATGGCATTTCCGGTAACATCCGCCTCTCCTGAAAAGGTCCAAGACACAACGTTCCGGTTTCTTGCTACTGAATGTTCTCTGTGAAGCACGGTGCACTGCCACATGCACAGCCGCGCACACAGACCCTCTGATGAGGAGGCCCCAGGACCTGCCCACCGTTTCCAACAAAGGTGCCCATGCGGGAGGACTCCAGAACTGGATGTGCCACCAGGAATTTCTGACATCTTTTTAGAAGCCCAGAATTCCTCATCGGAGGCCCAGGGATGATAGTGATGGGGTCCCGCGTGCCTTGCGTAGGGACACAAAGAAGTGGAGGCCCTGCCTCGGAGGAGGCTGGATGGTGCAGTGCTGCTTTCAGCCGGGGCTCGCACCTCTGCTTCCAGTGCTCCCAAGCACCCCAGGAGACGACTCCTGGAGGCGGGGAGGGAGGCAAACAGGGCTCAGAGGGCTGAAAGCCCACTCCACAGTCATCGAGGTGGAATGCTCCTGCCGCCCGGCACAGCTTTAAGGCTTCCCTTTGCAGGGGCCTGTCCCTCAGAATCAGCTGCGCTGCAAGTCCGGCCAGGCGGGTGGGGCAGAGGCCAGAGGCTGGGTAGGGCGGGCAGGGAGGGCTCAGGCCCACCGCTTAGGAATCTGCCGTGGAAGCACAAACGTCAGTGACCACGTCTGCTCCCAACAGACCCACAGGCTGGCCAGACGCTGAGCTCCAGACCGGCTGGCCTGCCTGCTCTGTCCCCAGTGTGTTCCCGAACCTAACAAAAAACTCGAGAGTGCAAATCTACGTACAGAGTAAGGCAGCAGGGAGGGGTGTCCTCACTGACCTCGCGGAATGTGTCCATCCCTGAGAAAGCAGGTTCAACACCGCTGAATCTCTCAGCTTTGTGGGTCTATGTATTGTGCAATTGGTGGGTGGTGATTTTGAAAAAAAAAATTTTTTTTTTAAGACAAATTTACTTTGACACCTGAGGTGAAGAAAATTCTTTTTCGTGGACTTCGCATCGAGTTTTCTCTCTTTCTTATTACAAAAGGAAAGGCCCAGGGACTCACGAGGGGGCGGAGCGGCTGCTCATGGCTGTGGCGGGATCAGGGCGAGCTGGCCGGGCTGATGATGGGGCTGCTGGCGTCGGAGCGGCTGTAGTCGCCGAGGGAACCGGTCCGCGAGCCCCCGCCGCGCCGCTGCAGCATGCGGGGGTGGAAGCTGGCGTGGCGGCGCGCGTGCTTGATCAGGTGGTCGCTGCGCGTGAAGCGCTTCTCGCAGATGGGGCAGCTGAACTTCTCGCCGGTGTGCGTGCGGTAGCGCCGCGCCAGCTCCTCGGAGCGCGCTAACTTCTTCCTGCCAGCTGCAGGCGAAGGGCCCCTCACCTGTGTGAGTTCTCAGGTGCGCCTTGAGGTGCAAGGATTTCCCGTAAACTTTCTCGCAGCCCGCTTAGTGGCACTGGTGCTTCCTCTGCGGGGGCTCGAGGTCTGCGCCACTTCGGCCCCGCCGGCCCCTTTGACTGAGGCCGGGCTCGCTGCTCCCTGCAGTCCCCGGCTCCCTCTCGGGCTCCAGGCCCACCTGGATCCCCGGCTGGCTCCACGCCGGGCTGGGGGGGCGCCGGGCGAGGCGGCCTCGGGGGGCGGGCGGCGGCGCCGGCGGCAGGCGGCAGGGGGTCCTCGCCTTCCGGGCTGCGGCGCTCTCTCTGCGCTCTGCCCGGGGCCGGCGCCGGCGCTTGCTCCCATGTTTCTTATGTGCCCTGGGGCCCCTGTCAATCTTTTGGGCTGTAATCTCCTCAACATCCAGAATGCCCATCTCTCTTTTTCATAAAAAGGTGAACTTTTTTTAGAATTGAAGCCGGGGTACCAAAAATACCGAATTAAAAAATGTCCTGACAATGTACCACAATTTAGTACAAGTAATGTTAAAACATCAGCTTGTGACCGGGAAAATGAAATGGAGACAGAGGAGAAAATATTGAAGGAGAGAGACAACACTGGAATAAAAAGCAGGAAACAACAAAACTATTTTTAGCTTCCCCAATCTTCCTGTTAAGGCCAGAAGCAGAGCACTTGCTCAAGGATGTCCCCTGCCATTTATGGTCTCAGTTAAATACAGGTATAGGGAAAATATTCTCAGCCACTCTGATAATAGTAGAGATGAACCATAAGAAACCCCTACTCAACCTTAAACAATATTGTCTGTGACAGGAAGCCATAGATGGAATTGCCCCTATCATACAAGATTATCTGGAAAAGGGGTTCATTATTCCCTGCACGAGTCCCTGCAAAAGCCTTGTCTTCCCTGTAAAGAAACCAGGTGGGAGAGAACAGAGACTTCTGCAGGACTTGAGGGCAATAAACAATATTGTAATACCCAGGTACCCAGTAGTCCCCAACCCACATACCCTTCTATTAGCTGTACCCACTACCAGCCAGTGTTTCTCAGTTTTGCATCTCCGTAGTGCTGCCTTTAGTATTCTTGTAGATCCAGACAGTCAGTATTTGTTTGCCTTTGCTTGAAAAGAACAGCAATATATGTGGACTGTAATGACCCAAAGCATATACAGAAAGTCCCATTTACTTTTCCCAAATATTAAAAGCTGATTTAGAGTATTTAATTTTTTCCCAGGGCTCAACACTCATACAGTATGTGGATTACCTTCTCCTTTGTCCAGATACACTGTGTATACTCTCAGGAAGATAGTCTTTTTTTTTTTTTTTTTTTTCCTGCTCACATTTATTGTGGCTAGAGACACTAAAACAGCTATTTTCTCTCCCCAAAATTGGAAAAATATAACACAATAGCAATTTTTTAAATACATAAAACTTCCTGGATCATGAATCAACATGAGACATAGTAGCCTGTAGAAATCGTGATCATTTTATAAAATATCATTCATCTAATGCATTTCTGAAATCGTCCTTAAAGCTATACATACACACAACTATCACATACAGGCATCCATTTATGAACAGAAAGAAAAGCCTTTTATAAGTATTGTGTAGGGAAGGCTAAAGTAATACATATTTAGATTCAGAATAATTTTTAAGAAAAAACATAGGGTTCCAAGAAACAGTGATTTACATTCAAATAAACATGTACACTTGCAAACCTGGATAATATTTTCATGAAGCAGATAATATTTTCATCAAACGGCCACCAAGAGGCACAAAGTGTCCAAAGACAAACTTCCACTATGCTTACTGAAAGTTAAGTATTTGGGGCATATTATCTTGGTCAAAAGACTGAGTAAAACCCCCACAGGGTGAGAGGAATTTTAGCTTTCCCAGTGCTCATCACTAAGAAAAATCTTAGACGATTCTTGGGCCTGGCAGGCTATTGTAGAAACTGGATACCATATTTCTCCCTTATGTCTCAACCTCTGTATGCATGCCTAAAAAATAAACAACCTGATCCCATCATATGGACTCCAGAGAGACAATCAGCCATACAACAAATAATGGAAATTCTAACTAATGCTCCAGCCTTCAGGCACCAAACTACAAATTGCCTTTCTCCCTTTTACTGAAGGTACCACATCTGGGGTTTTGACAAGAGACATGGTGATCATCAGAGACCTATAGGCTATTACAGCTAACACCTGTACCCTGTGGCTCTAGGGCTGCTTCCTGTGTGACAGCGATAGCAGCCATGACCCTTCTGTACAAATCTTTTGAAGATATAATTATGGGTTCTCCCTTACCATTTTTGTGCCATGTTCTCTTGAGACCCTTCTAAACTCTCATCATACTTTACATCTGTCTGTCAACTGATTAGCCTTTTACGAAATTTTTCTTTTATCGTCTCCCAATATTACTGTTTCCTGCTGTAATAATCTTAATCAGGCAACTCTCTTGCCGAGCCCTTCTGACAAAACCCCTTGTAACTGTGTTCTGATGACTAACTGACTTCTCTCCCCCAGGACAGACCTACAAGAGATGCCACTGGATAATGCTGAGGTAAAATGGTATACAGATGGGTCTTATTCAAGAGGAGAGGATGAAAATGTTAGAGCAGGATATGCTGTGGTTTCCTTACCGGAGGTAACTGAAGCCAGTCTTCTTCCCCAGGCCCAATCAGCTCAAGTGGCCAGATTGATTGCCCTGACCCCAGCTTGTCCTTGGCAAAAAGACAAGGTTGCAAACACTTACACTGACAGATGCTATGCTTCTGGGGTTGCTCATGACTCTGGTACATTACGGAAAGAGAGAAGATATTTAGCCTCCATAGGGCAACCCATAGAAAATGGACGAGTATCAGAGTCGTTAGAAGCTATTCTAAAACCAAAATGTTTGGCAACTATAAAAATCCCTGGTCATCCAAGATTAGACACCACAGAAAGTCAGGATAACCAACTGGCTGATGCCACAGCTAAAAGAGCAGCATCCGAACCACCAGTCCCAATCCAGGAAATGGCCACAAAACCTGAAATACTTAAAATCACATTGAAAGAAACCCAGAGCATAGCTCCTACAAAAGAGAAATCTGAGCATAGCTCCTCCAAGAGAGAAATCTACCTGGAAACAGGCAGAGGATAGTTGTCTCTTGAAATGGAAATATGGTGTGGACCTAATAATAAACCCATTATTCCAATGGGATGCCAGGTGTCCCTTATGGAATAAGTTCATAATCTAACCCATTGAAATCTAGATAAAATAATATCCTGGTGTAAAGAACATTGCTGAAAACCATCTTTCACAGTGGCACAAAAAGGTTACTCTCAATGTGTTATTTGTCCCAAATATAACTTAGGAAAGCCCCTTCATGGGGCCCAGGGTCATTCATTCTTTGCTTCTGGCTGGACCTTTTGAGGTATGGCAGCTTGATTTTATCTGGCTGCCATCATCTTAAGGTTATAAGTACGTCTTAGTAATGGTCTGGATGTTTTCCCATTGGGTTGAAGCTTTTCCCTGCAGGTGAGCAAC